GAAGCTGGTATGGGTTCCACAAAATGAGAAGTTGAAGGACAAATGCGAAGATGTACGTGATCTCAAAACCTCCGTTGAGGGCCAGGGCTCATGACATGATTCAGGCGGAAAGTTGGAATGCGATAGAGAACTTTGTAGGTTGGAGGGTTCAAAATGACGGGAAGATGCTGGCGATGGTGAGGTTGTTCGAGCGCATGTCCTTGTGCCTCATTCTTGACTGAAGGCCATGGCGAAATGCGAATCATGCAGCGTCTATGACTTGTCGTATAATGGGCTCGGGGACAACGAGGGCAAGGAGATCGCCAAGGCGCTCAAGATTAACTTCACCAAGAACGAGAAGGTCCTGACGCGACAGACGCTCAAACTCTGCGTTGATCTTCTTTCCTCAGCCCTACGCCGGAGTGCCGGGAGCCAAGATCTACGGCACCATCGTGAAGCTGAACCTAGCCAACAACAACCTACACGCCGAGGGCATCCGAGCCCTCTGTGAGGCTCTCACCTCCAGCAACCCACGTGAGTGAACTAGAAGTGAGCTGACAGCTGAAGTCGTTCTGGAACAGGAATATCCTTCTCGCTGGAGGAGCTCGGGTTGGCCAATAATGCTGCTGGTACGCTTTTCTCGCCTCTCCCCCTTGCTCAGGCTTGTGCTTCGCAGGGCCCGAAGGAGCCGTCGAGCTCGCCAAAGTCATCTCATCCAACCGCATCATCCGGTCACTCGACCCCTTATCCCTCTTGCCGCTGACTTTGACGCAGGCGACTGAACTTGAGCTGGAACAACATCGGGACCACAGGCGTCCTCGCCATTCTCAACGCCCTGCAACAGTGAGAGCTGTCCTGCTGGTCTGACCTGACGTGACTCCTCACCGCAGAAGTCACCTCAAGGCGAAATTTGACCTCTCATATAACTCCATCGACCTTGGCGACCAGACGCTGCTGGAGAGCTGGCCAGAGTTGATCACGCGACTGAAACGAGTAGGAGCGAAGCGAGAGAGGGCTGGGGATTGACGATGCTTGCAGATGAAGATTAAAGACCGGATCGAAGAGGTGATTGTCGGTTGGGAGCTCCTCGGTCTTCATACGTTGCCAACCAAATGAAAGCGAATGAAAACTTGCAACGCAAAGACACAAGCATAGAGAAAGAACACCCCAAGCAGCGTCAGAGATTTTATTTCTACAGTTCGAGCGTAGGAAAGGGGAGGAGAGAAGGTCGCATACAATCAAGGTAGCAAGTCAAAGTCGTAGAGGCCGTTGAGCTTTCGGCGGTACTGGACGAGGATGAAGGAGAGAAAGATAAGCAAAAAGTCAAGTTACCTGCATCATGGTTCCGTACATGCGATCAGAAATACCGACAAACAAGGCGTCATCTTCGGGACTACCAAACGAAAATCTGTCAGCACATTCGCATGGTTGATGATCAAGACCTGAAGCTGATTCCAGCGATCTCTCCGAAGATGTCGATCTCCTGTACGTTCTCAAAGTTGCTCTGCGTTGTGAGAGCCTGTCACTTGATGATACGAGGCTAGATCGAACCTTGACGTCGAAGATGTGGACGAAGTCTGCGGGCTCTGCCATGGCCTGCAAAGGGGGTCAAGCAGCGAAGGCTTCTATAGCTGGCAACCATGTAGCGACCATCCTCAGTGAAGCGAAGAGACCGGATAGCTCCGAGACGACCTGCAACACACATCTAACGTCAGAGTAACGGCCATGAGACACACATCCCTCAAGGTGTAACTCCAGCACCTCCGAGCGTTGCCAGGCACCTCATCATCCTCCTGCGACATGTCTTAGTCAGGATCCGTGCGGCATACCCTCTGCTCCTCTGCTCACCTATCCCATATCCGAGCAGTCTTGTCTTGATTTCCCGTGGCAAAGATGTTGCCGTCAGGATGCCAGGCAGCCTACAGCAGAGGTTGAGGAGGGCGAGAGAGCAGCGGGATCTCTCACAGCAAAGGAATAATCCAGATGCATGTCGCAGACCGCAACTCGCTGCGCATGAATGAGCTGCACATCTCAACAAGACGCGGAGCCATCACTCTCGAGGTCGTGACGTCCATTAGCATACACTCGGTGGAATCTCCCAGAACACTGAGATAAGACATGAGCCTTAGAAAAGATTCAAATTAAGACATGTCTTACCACACAAGATTTCTATCAGGGGAGAGCGTCTGCAAACAACATGAGCGATAGACAAAGATTCTTTAACTTACAGCAAAGTTCACAGGCCAAGGGAAATGCATTCTGTTGACTTCCCGGAAGGAGTTGTCAACTACATACCGTAAGAAGCAAAAGATGTAAGGCGACAAGAGACCGTCTAAGATCCTGATCTGGCTATCGTTGTTTGTTATCACAGCCTCCAGCGCTCCTTGCTTCGACTGCCTCTTGTTCAGACTCTGCCCACAAAGCAACCCCATGGTAAACCTCTGTAGCAAGATTGAGTTGGTGATGGCGTTCTCGTCGCTTGTTATCTTCTCACTAAACAATACCTGTGGCCTCAAGTTAACTACTCCGCTTCAACCTTGTGCTCCCATCGAATCACCTTGCCAGTATCCGGAGATGAGGCTCTTGTAAAGTCATCGGAATGAATATCTGAAGGCAACTTGACACAGACCTGATTCGAGGCAGTCACTCACAACACATAGGGCACTCTGACTGACTTTCAATGAAGGAAAGAAAGTAAGGAAGTAAAGGAAGGAAAGGAAGGAAAGGAAGAAAAGGAAGAAAAGGAAGAAAAGGAAGAAAAGGAAGAAAAGGAAGAAAAGGAAAGAAAGGAAGTAGAGGAAGGAAAGGAATGAATCTATGAAACGAACGAACGATCGAACGAACGAAAGGCTGACTGACCAGATCTCCAAAGAAGCCTCCTGCAACACAAATGCTTCCTTGGACACACATGGTGCTCATATGAAGTGCATCAAGTGAGATCTGTCAAGTAGCGTCAGATACGAATACTTGAGTCTGTCTCGCCTTCTCTTTTGAGTCTTCAAATCTGCTCAAGATCGGCGTTAATTTGTTTGTCACGTAGCTAAAATGCTGAATGTCTTCCGCCTGTTGTATCATCAGCAGATCACAATTTGTTCATCACCAAGTTCACACAACGCACAATGGAATACCTGCGTCACGAAGACGTCATGAGATGTCGTTGCCCAAACAAGATTTCTCAGCTGAAAATGAACGATGTTTGCTCGGGCTTGTCTGCGAGACTTTCACTTCATCACACACATCATGCCTGATCTCACTTCTCGCTGTTCTCAAACTCGTAAAAGGAGTGTCCCCTGTTCGTCACGTGACTGTCGATCTCAGCCTGCCGGGAACGTAAGCGCAACGGGAGACGGAAGGGAGCAAAGAGACTTTGAGCGAAGAGTGCGGGCGAGGACGAGCAGAATCGTCGAGGTTCTCATAGTTTTCATACTGTAAGGTGGCATGTGAACGGGACCAGGAGGAGGTGAGCCTTGAAACTTACCTGTAACAAGCGCTGATTCCTGTAAGTACTCCGAGTGATGTTGATTTGATCCCAGCGAATCCCCTTCAAGTTTCTCAGACTGAGAGGCATCATCCAGGTTGAATTCTTTACCTGAGGATCACAACCGCGCCGGAACTGATCTTTGGTCACCCTAGAAAGACCGCCCTGAAACATTCAAGTCACACCAACAACCCATCCCCCTGTCCCAGACTCACAATGTCGAAGCTTTCATCTAAGTTGTCAGGATAGATTGATGTGAGAGCATCTTCTTCATCGAAGAAATACTGTACAAGTCATCATTCTCTTCGACTCACTTCGCATCATTCTTACATCATCATCCATCATCATTGGCAATCCAACCCTCTTTGTGCCTAAACCCTTCCAGATCAACTGTAAAAGGAAGGTGTCAGCAAGTCATCAAAAGCTTCGTTCGCACATCCTTCTGTCTCTACATCATGACCACATTATCACCATTTGCAGCAGCAGCATCGGCATTAGATTCATCAACTTTGGCTTCTCCATCTCATTTTCCTTGTCTTGCTGTTGTATGCTCGTTCTTCTCATCCTCGTTCTGAATCCCTTGTCCACCTCCTTCCATATCCTTCTTCTCTCTCTCCTTCTCCTTCTTGTTTCCTGCAGTAATGCTTTCCTTCTTTGGTTCTTCTTTTTCCTCTCGCTCCTTGTTCCCGGTCTTGTAATTTTCGATGTTGTTTCTTGTTCAAGTCCTGCTGCTTCTGCTCCTTCTTTGTCGTTTCCTCCTCCTCCTCCTCCTGCATCTCTGTCTCTTTCTTTTCTGTTCTTCCATCACCAATACCGCCTCCTCCCTCCCCATCCCTCCCCCTCCCCCTCTCCTTGGTTTCGCATATCTCTCTCCTGTTTGTCGTCGCTGTCTCAGCTTCGCGTTTTTCTTTACGCAAAGTTAAGTTAAAAATCAGTACGAGGACAAATCAGGAGAGTCGACTGAAGTTTAGGGTTGGCAGCGCCGGTTATTTCAGGCAGCGCCGGTTATTTCAGGCACCATGGCTGCACGCGTGGTGTAGGGGAAGCCGCCAGGGCGCCAAGGAAGCTGCAAGCGAGAGGTTTGTATACTTCAAATAGCTTTCTAAGTATGGTTCTTCAGTATGATGAAAGTGTTCGCAACATGCTGTATCTGGTTTAGGGTTTAGGGTTTAGGGTTTAGGGTTTAGGGTTTAGGACCGGGCCCGTTGACAGAGGACCGGGCCCGTTGACAGAGGCACCGGGCCCGTTGACAGAGGCACCGGGCCCTGTATCGGAGATCATGCCAATACACGCAGGGTGAGCGCTCAGGAGGCCACGTCGAGGAGGCCGACCTCGTCGAGAGAGTGAAGAGCTTCACCAAGCGTTATCCGAATAGTCGGACAGCTCATGCTTGCAGAGCTGAGGGGGGATGCACTCCCGACGCTATCGCAGAAGCCATCCGCTCGACATGTCGGCAGGCGAGACGCGACCTGTTTGAAGACTCTCTGAGCGCATGGAGCCCAGAGTCGAAAGCATGGTTCATGCAACAGATGAAAGAGGCCAAACAGCAGAATGTCGAGACTTACATCGGCACCGAAGACACCGAGGAGACCTCCTTCATCTCCATGACTCTCCTGGGCATCTCCTCGATGTATGTGCGACATGAAGACAAATTGAAAATGAAGTTGACGGAGCTGGGACTCATAGTAGACTCAGTCGATAGAGACGACAAGTCCATCATGTGGAAAGCACCTTACAGACCTGAGATAGCACGAGCAGACGACATCTCAGTCACCATCTCCTTCCTTCGGAATGAAGAAGCCATCGCACTCTGGCAAGGCAGCAGAGAGTACAGCATCGACGGGCGAATTTTCAGAGCAACTGAAGTCAGCATTGCACACGACCGGTCGTTCAAGCTCCGAGCCAAGCGAGGACCTTGGGGCAAGGGAGGGAGCCTTGCCGAGCTATCGCAGCTCCTAGCTCTTGGAGGAATGTCGACGGCGGACATAGCTCGGATCTATCAATTCCAACTGATCTCGCAATGTCTCGCCGCAGCAGAGGTACAACCGCTGGCGGGCATGCTCGTGCAGGGTGCAGAGAGGTCGCAAGGGGCCGAGCCCGAAGACGTATGTTGCTGTTGGAGCAAGCACCGGAGCTCTGCAGCAGAGAGAGCTCGAGTGGGTACTATCCTGCCCATCGACGGCCAGCTGCGAGCAGACGTTGGCCTCGTTCAGAGAGAGCGAGGCGATGGAGGGGGTGCACCTGACTCTCGTCAGCGACGACGCCAAGCTCAGAGAGACGTTTGCAGTCGAGCTCACAGCAGACACCTTCGTGCCGAGAGGAAAGATTGCCAAGCAGAGGATGGTACTTCGCGACAGGGAGCAGGCTCCAAGCGGCAGTTTCAGGGTGCAGATCAAGTCGAAGTCAAGCATGAGCACAGGCCGCTTCTCGAGGAAGGAGATGGAAGCACTGTGCGGAGGAGGTAACACATCGACCACGCGAGTCAAGCGAGCCATGTTGGAATTAGCAAGAAGAATGAACCTGAAGCTTGCCAGCATTGAGGTTCAAGAAGATCGAGACACGCTGAGCTGGGATGGGAGCCTGATAACTCTCTCCCTGGCGACCAAGGCAGACGCTCGACGTCTGATGGAAGACATGCCCTTCTACTTGGAAGGGGTCCTGGAAGTCAAGCTCGAAGCTGTGGGTTTCAAGTGGAGCTCTCAGGATGAAGAGGAGAGCGAGGAGCAGGCTCAGGAGCCCCAAGGGCAGCAGCAAGGCGCTGGATGGCTGGAGCTCAGCGACATCGACAGGATTACTCTGGAGGCGGCCTCGCCGTCAGGACCAGTCGACCAGCAGGTCTTGGTCGACCTCTCGACGATGCTCCTGGAGACGTCAGAGGAGGATCTACTTGCTGGCAAGCCGATCCCGCTGGAGCTAGACAAGAGTGTCGGCAAGCTGCATGACACCTTCTACTCGCCGGGCAACGTCGTGTTTATGACGCTCGGAGCTTGGGCAGCCACGCCGTCGTTGGGATCGAAGCGCAACATGTTGAAAGGAAAAGCTGAGAGCGTACCTGGGCAAGCAGCGCTGGACTCAGGTACAGGGGAACAAGAAGCAGAAACAGGCAGCGAGGAGGGGCAGCGCTTTCTCTCCAAGAGCAGCAGCGACTGATGCGCTTGA